GGAAACGTGTTCCCAAAGGGTGTGAAATTCATTGTGCGTTCGTTGCGTGGTTCCGGTTATTTATTTCCGGAGAACCAGAAGTTGAATTTTACGTTCGAGGAGACTGCAAATAAATAATGTTTTTTTTTAGTTATCTAAAAGTTATATTTTAGACTTGGATTTTGAAAATCGCAAGGAAAGGCGATATTTTTGAGAGGATGAGCTTTAGATAAGAGAACAATTAGCAGTAAGCGTAAGAGTCGTAAAAAGAAAGACTGAGAAAGTGCTCTCTAAATTATAAAACAAAATCATCATAGCTTTTATTTAAAACATTTAAACAGTAGTTGATTAAACTAATGTTAATTATTTTAAATAAAATAAAAAACACCGAGTATTGCCCATTTTGGAAAAACTGCAAACATGAGGTAATATCAAACAAAACAAAGAATTCAAGGTAAGGCCGATTCTGGCTTTCTGAATGAAAAGTGAAATCGCAGCCGCTGTTATTATTTTGACTGCTCAAACGCGCGAACACACCCACAATCGCCCAAACACACACACTCATAGGCTTCATACATGTACGCGCATACATATGTATGCCGGCAGCGTGAGAAGCAACAAAAAGAGCGGCAAACCTGCGCGCAATACGAGCAAAAGCACGAGCACAAACTACCGTTAGCTGCACAGTGGTTACACGATAGTTCACATGTGCGTTGAAACGAGGTTGGCAAAGTTCTGGCAATAGTTTAGCTATCATCACTAGATGATAAATTGAGTACGAGTTGGAGTTTCGTAATTAATTACCAGGATTGCACAAAAGTATCGAACTGCACAAAATTGTTTGCCATTTGTCGTTTTTTTATCTTTAACTACCTTGCCCAGATAAAATAATATTTAAAATTCATGGAATGAGCAATTTTTTCGTTATTAAATAAGAGAAAATATCGTTTTAGTGAATAATACGAAATAAAAAGTTTCATTAGGACTCGCATAATGAAAAATGAGTTAATTTATTACTCATAAATTTATCACTTGTATTGACAACAATTCGTACCACTGTGCGGCTGTCCGCTTTTAGTATGTCGGCACATTGTGTTTAGGTTAGGGTTGTCCCGATAGCGTAAATGTGTATGTATGTGTGTGTAAGTGCGCGTGATTTTATAACAATTTTCGCATAAATTTGGAAAATATTGCAAAAAAAAAAGAAGTTAAGAATCCATTAATCTACGCTTTTTTAGCAGACAGTCCTAAAAAAAACTGCGAATGTGTCGTGTAAAAGGCAAGTTATAGCCATATCGATTTTCACTAAGTACGCAAATTAGTGTCGCGTTTAATTGAGAGAGGAACGAAAGCACACAAACACACGCTCCCATACACACACACACACACACACACACTTGTATTTAAATTGCAGCTCACTTTTGGGCAGCTGTCGCGGACTATAAGAATCGAGGACATCCTTATTGCATATTGAAAAATAGACTTTCACTAGCCAGCCCTAACGGAGTTATGTTTTATTCTTATTTATATATACATATTGATATATTTTTTTTGTTTTCGGCAAACGCGTGACACAATAAAAGTCAAAGGCAGGAAGCAGCCGTAAGGCGGCCGTCGCGTCGTTCACAAAGACAAGCCAATGTTGGCGCTGACGTTAACGTTGGCGCTGTCGCCGCAGTCGATCGGCTGTACAGCAATGTGAAAGTGCACTCTATTTGCAATATTTTGCCTTACGTTTTTTCGTATCGTTATTGCTACGTGTTTGCTGTTTTCACACACACACACACACGCATACCTACAAAGAGACGATTCCCGCGCGACGGCATTTATAAAGGAAAAGCAAAAAATGTTTGTATTGTTGCCCTGGCTAGGCCGGGCACAAGGAGTGTAGGTGCCCAACTACCGTTGTGTTGTTTGCGCTGACGTCGCTGCGACTGCGACTGCTGCAGTGCGAGTGCGAGTGCAAGTGCGCCTCCTCCACATGCAACACACACACCAGCGTCGAATCGGTGCGTCTATGTCTGTGACGGCTGCCGCATTCACGACAGGGCCACCTAACGGCGTGTGGCACAAGTTTGCTACTGACCCGCCGCCAACTCGTTTGTACGTACACTCCAACTTCTCCTGCGCGCTGTTCACGTGTTTGAGTGTGTGAGTGTGTGTGTTGAACACGAGACAAAAGCGTGAGCTTCGTGCCGGCATTGTAATACTTGTGTGCGTGTAGCTGTGTGGCTGTGTGTGTGTGTGTGTGCTAGCACCGAGAGCGAATGGGACAGACTAAGCAAAGGGAGAGAGTGAGCGCGTGTTTGATGCTCTCTTTAAGTAGTTGTCAAATAAACGGTTATAGTTTGATTGTTGCTTTGCTCGCAGAATAAACAAGACATTTTCTATGTGAGTTAGATTTTTTTTTTTACACTAAATATCTTGGAAATTTTTGTAATGCGTGCGCCCATGTTGACACAGGTACGTACTTGCGAAAACAGCGAGAATACTGCTATGAATATTTTATTAATGCATACAGTATGTCAATAAGGTATTTTACTAAAGAAAATAGCATATTTTTTAGGTTTATTTGAAAATAAATGTACCTAAAAGTGGGCTTTTTTTCATTTCTAATTTATTTCGATTCTTTAATTTTCCTAGAACTTAACGGCACAAAAATGATTTAAATAAAATTATCCATAGATTTTACAGAATTAAAAATCTTAAACCATTTAAATTTTGTGCTGTCAATAAAGTGTTTTTACAGCTATGGTAAATCGTTTCGCAGTTCTCTTTTTGGCGATCCCGTTAGATTTAGGACTAACGGTTTTGGATTCTCGTGTGTGTGTTCGACTTGAAATTTATAACGTTTGGCTTGCATTTTGTGAAAAATAAAATGATAGGAAATATAAAGAATCGAAATTAATTATAAACGTAAAAAAACTCACTTTTAGGTTTATTTATGTTCAACTAAATTAAAAAAATGTGTTTCCTTTTGCTAGTAAACACACTTTATTGACAGAATGTACAAACTTGTTTTTTTTAATTGAAGTACATTAGTATAAGCCTAACTTTGGAACTAATTGCTAAATGGTTCATTGATTTAAAAGAACCGGTTTATGAACCGAACCTGAAACCAAAACTCCGACACACATCTCTCTCTTATTTAAATCTAACGTTATTCTTAATACGTTGCTGGGGGAACTTAGGTTCTATTATCAATTCGCTGCAGCTTTAACCAATTGAGAATTGCATGGCTCGTTCGTCAATTTAATTAGTTCCATTAAGTTATAGCTACTCATATCCATTGCATAGATCTGTTCTGATCTCTCAGCTGTCGTCATGTGCTGCCGGTTTACACTTCTATTTGCTTTTTTCTGTGGATATCCGATTCTTGTGCTCTGCTCTTCGCAAAATGGTGACTAGATCGGGTGCGTTTGGGCGCTGCTCAGATACTCTTATTGGCAAACTTTATCCACAGACCCACGCTACCAAGTTGTGGGCGTGCCGTGTGCTGTCAACGAGGAGGTCAGCTGCATGATCCTCAAGTGTCCGGCGGGTCGCTTTTGTCCGGCGGAGAATTACTGCTACAATCCGAAGTGCGTCTGTCGGCGCGGCTATCGCAGAAGCCATGGCGTCTGTGTCCAGAAACATGTGACGCTCAATCTCGAAGCTGAGGCTCTGAACTCAGCCCTGCTCCAAACGCGCTTTCGATAATGTCATAATTTGTTCAATTTTTCTGTTTCTTAGCAAATTACATATTTAGCTGATTAAAATAATTTTGAGACAAGACAACCGGGTAATATACATATATAAATTTGGAAGATTTCAAGTACCTCCATACCCATTCAGGTGCTTATATAGTGGCTGTCAGTTATAAAAAATGCCCGTGGCAAGTATATTTTAAAATCAAAATTTCAACAAGAGGTTCTAGTCGGGAGCTCCCGACTAGAAGATACTCTGAACCCTCTTCTTCCAACATCAAATGCATATATATATTATATTTTAGAAGCTATATGTCAAGTTTGGTGACTCTAGCTCTTATTATTTACCAAAATTGACAAAAAGCAGGATATCGATATCGATTTTTATCGATTGCTTGGTAACGGAGTAAGTTATCGATTATCGGAAACAAACTCGATCTGCGCAGGCACTAGGAGGACCTACATCTATCTAAATTTCAAGACGCTAGCTCTTATAGGTTCTGAGATCCTTGCGTTCATACGGACGGACGCACGGACGGACAGACAGACGGACATGGCTAGATCGACTCGGCTATTGATGCTGATCAAGAATATATATACTTTATGGGGTCGGAGATGCATCCTTCTGCCTGTTACATACATTTGGATTTTGCACAAATACAAAATACCTTTATACCCATTTTTAATGGGTTCTGGGTATTAAAGGTTGAAGAAATTATTTTGAAACTGTTCGGACGGTAAACAAACAACATTCATACAAACAATTTCCGCCAATTTCCCCCAATGGGGTTTGCACCCCAAATAAAACACGTATTCATTCATTGAGTCAATCATTTCGAATCTCATTTTTACCGAAGAAGTTTAGAATTTTCGAAAAATATGAAACACGTCCAAATAATTTTTCATATAGATCCTGGAAAATGAATTTGAGCGCGAAACAAAAATGTTAAACAAAAAAGTATCATACAAACGATTTTCGCGATTTTTCCATACTTGCGGGTGGAATTTCCCGAAACCCCGTCAGTCAGTCAACCTCTCGACTGAGAGGACAAACATTTTTTTCTCAGCTCGAACTTATTTCTAGCGCTCCAACGAAAGCTGGCATTTCGATCATGTAGAGTCAGTCTATTTGAGTTCTCAGAAATGGGATTGTTTTCGAATAGATCTTTATATGGTCGCACGAAAGTTTGATTGCCCGGAAAAGAATAAAAAGAAAAGGTCTCCGGCTCGGTTCACGATTCGAAACAGCACCCTCAATGTTCAATGCAGTATAACGAGCCCAAATTTGGACTTAAATCTCATTTATTATACATGTTGAAAGTTCTAATAAAACAACTTACATCTTTATTAAAAAATAAAAATCCCTAATGCTGGCTAAATTTAAATTCTGTCCAAAAATGTCATCTATCAACGGGAACAAAGATGTGCAGAGTTTGGAACGAATTTTGCCTCAAAAGTTCGCTTTTGTTCGGGTTTCGACAACTAGTTTGGTTAAACTGTTGTAAAAAAAAAAAAACTAAATTTAGTTTCGAGAATAGTTTTTTATTATAATGCGAAACACTTTAAAAAGAGACGCCAACTTGTTATTTTTTTTAAGATTTTTTTAAAACATAAATTGATAAGAGATAAAATGGGCCTTAAGAACTGGGTCAAGCGAACAGTATAAGGCCATGTACCGTTAATCAACCACCAAAATGTGCCTCCAACTGGCCGTCAGACTGTGTGTGTGTGTGTGTGTGTGTGTGTGGCAAGAGCCGGAGTCAGTGAGTCCACATGAGGGCACACAAGCAAATGCCGCCGGATTTGCATACGAGAATGCAGGCAAAGTCAAGCGCAGACCAAGGATGAGGCAGCAGGCACCGGAGCAGAAGGAGCAGGTGGAGATCTGCCAGCCGCATCGGTGGCAACAACAAAGATGCTGCCGCTGCTGACACTGAAATAACCGCACGCAAGGCCAATCGACAAAACCAGGCCACGCACACAATTCAACCCGGAGGGCGACGCGACAACAAACTCCGTCCGTGCCACAAAGCAGTGCACCCATGCTGCAGCACCCGGCTGCTGCTCCTGCTCCTACATCTAGTGCCATGCACCAGGCAAAGCTGAGGTAAATGCACTTGGTATGTGGACTGTGCCGGGTGGCGGGATTGGCGGGCCGGGGCGCATTGCAATCGGCATTGAGCAAGAACCAAGAGCGCACGACTTTGACTCATCCGGAGAGCGCGACAGCAGCTCTGCGCCTGCAGAGCAGGGAATGGGTGTGCAACTCTCCTGTACACATCTGCATGTATATACATATATGTGTGTGTGTGTATGTGTGTGGGGTGCATTGCGTCATCATCGTCGACGTCGTCGTCGTCGTCGTCGTCGTCGTGAACAGCGAACAAGTCGCGCCCGCGCCGCGGGCTGGTCAACGGGCTCTGGAACTGGTTGCGAATGTGTTACAAGTGGATGACGCTTGCAGCAAGTGTTGTCAAGAGGTGGTGGGCGTGGCATTGGGAGTGGTTTGGGTGCAGCTGCCGTCATTTGGCAAGACGAACGAGGCTGAGTGCAAGTCTCGCGCCCATTGCGTTGTTTATCCCGGCACTCTGTGTGCTCCGGTGTATGCAATGGCATGAAAGTGAAACTCCGCCAAACGGCCAGGCGCAGGCTGAAACCGAAATGCCAATGGTCGTTGCCGTAGCCGTTGCCGTTGCCGTATCCGTGGCCGTGGCCGTGGCCATGACCCGTGTCTGCGATATGCACTCCGGCACACTTAAACACGCACACACACACACACACACACAAAGAGTCGCATCGGGAGGTTTGTTAGCAACCGGAAACGCGGTCATCGGTCTGGCAATCGGGGCGTATGCGTAATGTGCGTAATATGCACACGCATTGCATTCACAATAATAATAATAAATGATTTATAATGAGTACTATGAGTATTATGAGTATGAGTACTTGGAGTATTCATTGTGTCCTTAAATATCATTTGATTTCATCTAATCGCATTTCATCTAATTTCATCAAATATTTTGTTAATGGTTTGATTTTTGTGAATCATTTAATATACAACATTTTTGGGCTAGTTGCTAATGAATTAGTTTATAATTAAATGATGCTTTTGCATAACGAAACCGAATCAATCTCAATGCAATTTAATTTTCAATTCCCTTAAAATAGTTTGTTATAAAAGTTAGGTCTAAATTATGACGTTAATCCAATCACGTAACGTGACGTTAAGTTTCCTTATAAGTTAAGTTCCCAGTTGGTTTACTCAAATTTCTATCTGCTCTTTTTTGAGCACTAAATTTAATTGACAAAAACTTTGAGAATATGAAAACATAGATAACATGTCTTTTGACTAGTAAACTTTGAAGAGGTAACGTGAACAAATGCAATTTCCTTAAAA